AAAATGTTTTGTATTAGCAAACAAAATTTTGTTACTGACGTAAAAACTATTTGTTGATATGTGAAAAATGAAATATTTTGTTACCGGAACAAAAAAAATATATTAAGCCATGTGCGTATAGCCGCCGCGCATTTGTCCAAAGAAATCCGCTCTCTCAGCCGGTCACCCATCCAAGTAGTATACCGGCGCCTTGTTGCTTAATCGAACAGGGTAGTGGTGATCCTCTGACTCTGACGTTTCTTTCTTTCTTATACTTGCTTATTTTGGTGACCATAAAGCTATCGCATAACAATATTAACAATACAAATATACGAATAAATCTTTTTTGCCAGTCAACGTCGAATATTAATTTATATTAAATATTATTAAGTATTTTATATTTTATATTAAAAATGCCATATGACAAAATTTGGAATATCAGAAAATTCTTAATATTATAAAAGAGAAAAAATGCAATAAAATGTAATAATTATATAATAATAAATTTAATTTTTTATAAGTTCTAAAGTCTGTCAGCAACTTTTCGGAAATATTACAAATGCAATGTTGTATATGGGAAACATTCAAAAATATAACGCGTGCAATTTAAATGTAAATAATAGTTTTATCATGTATCAGAAATGTTTCTAAACCATTACATCTGCAATATTTCTTCTGCAATATTGTAGAAATTCACTGTCTGCAATTCAATTTTTCATTACCTACGCAATCCTTCAGAAATTTTTCAGAAATATTTTAATGCAATGTTGCGTTTGATATGTTACAGAAATATTATTTGTGCAATGCAAACGTAATATTACTTTTATAATGTTTCAGAAATATTTCTGAAATATTGCATCTGCTACATTTTTTTGCAATATTACAGACACTTACAAATATTGTAAACAGCTTTCTGAAAGATTTCAGAAATATTGTTAATGCAATATTATAAAAAACATGATGCAGGTACATTTCTGAAATATTTCAGATGCATAGTTACAAATGAAATGTTAACGAAATATTTCTGTACTATTTACGAATATTTCAATATTTCAGCAACATAACATGCCGAGTGGGACAGGTAGGAGACCTATTTATGTAATTGAGAATAAGAGAATTATGGAAAATTTTGAGCCAATTAGTGTAAGTGATCTGGAACAAATTGTTAGGGAACTATACCACGAAAGAACGGAACAGAGGAAGGGATATACTGAAAATAGTGCTACCTGTGATAAAAGATGAGTTTGTAGGGATAATAAATGATTCGCTTAGGACAGGTAAATTTCCAGAAGGATGGAAAACATCCACGATAATACCGATACCAAAGGTAAAAATTTCTAGAAGACAATGAAATTCAGCTTTAAGAATCTGTTTTTTTAATTGCAATACGATGATTTCTAAGGGAGTTATGAGCAATCAATATCAAAAAGCTTATTTCTTGTTCAATCCGCGATAAATTAGTAACAAAAAATTGTAGAAACATTTTTAAAAAAAGATTTTGCAAGAAAAACTTCAAGCTTTCACGTTAAAAAGTCGAAAATTTTCGCAGATTTTTTTGTGAACATGACAGGCCCACAAAGTGAAAGAAAAATTTTCTATTTTGTCCAGCTCGTAGTTTTCTATATGTAAAAATTACCAAACTCACAGAAACTAAAAAATAATAGTAACTTTTTGAAAGTAGAAATTTCAAGCTTTAAAATCTTTCAAAATATTTCATTAAAACCATGTATAAATAACAGATAAAAGAAGGAAAAAGAAGACCATCAGTATACAAAGATACCTCAAAGAGAATACCCAAAAAGAAAGTGAAATAGGAAAAAAAATTATATTTTTCTTAAGTATGGCATATTCCCCCGAGTTACCCTAATAATAATTTTGTCAAGGTATATATGTATATATATACACCTATATATATTCTCTCTTTGTAATTGGCGCAGTATTAAAAGATTTCACATATTTTTTTTAAATAGATACCATTTGTTATTTAAGTTTTTTTGAGGTAGATATCACTTGGATTGAATAAAGTAAAAATTTTGTAATATAATAATTTTGTTAAGAAAAATTAAAGCTACTACCACCTAGGTTAGAATAAATTATATTTATTTTTTAATTTAAAATTAATGATACTACTACTCAGTTTTTTTCGAGGTAACAACCACGCGTGTACTTGGCGCCTTTTTATTAAAGTCGTGACCGTAAACGTCCTGAAAAATTTTTTTGCGCAGTCTCCGTGAGCTTTAAAATGCCCAGAAAGGCGGAATCGCTGTTTTAAAAAACGTGTAAACATTATCGAAAAAATATTACGCGGATAATTACGCAACAATTAAAGTTGATTATCGAAATGCTTCCACCTGATGTCGTTTCCATTAAAACTGCAAAACAGTGTTTTTACAGATAATTTTGAAGAAAATTTGTTCTTATTATAAATATTATTATACACTATATGACGACGGTGCCCCTTTTGCTACGTCACACCGTTAGACCGGCGCGGCATAGACGGTACTGCTTCTTACGACCGACGCTCAGCCGCTAGCACGTGCTTGGAGGGGGAAAAACGGCACCGCGATCCGGTCTCTGGAGATCACTGTACTCACAATCAGTACCGTAGAGACCGCGGTACAATATTTTCGGTTCTGTAGGACAGGAGTGCAATCTGAAATTCTTTATATAGTTGCCGCGACAACTTGCTTGATCTGCAGGTAATGAGTGGAATGCGGAAAAATGTGAATATCATAGTGATCTAACTATTTAAGCTCCAGTGTATATAGTGTGAACTAGTGGTCGGAATTACTTGTACTTTTGAGGCAATTTTTGAAAGCTACTTCTACTTCTCTCACTTTGCATCTTCGCTCGACTGGCACCACACAAGTGATGAGCGTTAGAATCCCTATACAGGGACTCTAATGAGCGTGCCGCTCAAGCACCAGGACTGTCACATGTCCGCAGGAGGCGGTTTTGCGAAAGGAGCTCTTTCTAAAATTACTAATCTATCCTTATCGAGTTATTTCTTATCGAAATCCTTTACGTCTTCTTTATTTTTTTTATATAAGCTATCAATATATTTATATTATAATTACAACGTGACATAGCTTGTTTGTCAGTGAAGATAAAAATGTGTGTTTAATTTAGAATGTTTATCCATTTTTATATATTTTATTTTAGAAAAAGAATTCATAATTCGTATTTAGTGATTATTAAGAAGAGTTGCAAGCTCGTGCGGACATGTAAAACCAATTGTTTGAATTTATTTTCCAATAATAGAAGATTTGATTGTTTGAATAATTCGAATGTGAAAGAAATTTTGAACGAAAATAGTAGTTTTTTGGTGGTACGCCGGTTTCGATATATTTGTCTATAATTTCAAAAAGAATAACGTGAGGCTTGACAAGGTTTAAATTTTTTAGAAAATTTTAAATCAATATTAAGATAGAACATCGTCTGCATTTTTCTATTTCTTTATTTTTTAAATAATAAATCAGAATTTTGTTTATCACGTTTTTATATTCGATATTTACATAAATTGAGCAGTATGTGTTATTTCATAGTGTGGTACTATGTGTTTCTGGATGCATCAGAAAAAATTTATTTATATTCAGAGCAATAAATTTATTTCATTACATAAATGTTACTAAAAAATAAATTTCGATAAAGTGTAGTAATATTTTATTATTTGCATTCTTATATACTCTATTTATTCCGTTTATTTATCCCGTAAAACCGTTTATTTATATGTCGCAGAGAACTAATTGTATCGTAATTGATTCAATATTTTTTATGAAAATAAAAGAAAGAAGTATTTCTATATAGTTTATTTTGAATTATATATATATATATATATATATATATATATATATATATATATATA